CTGGACAACACAGACTCTGTCTCAAAAATAAATAAATAAACAAACAAACCTTTGTTAGAAGTATTTATCTTCCTGTTTCATCATCTACCCCATAATGGCTTGATTTTTCCATACATAAAACCTAGTGCTCAAAAAGAAGCACTTGACAATTTTGCAGGCTATCTTAAATCTCCTTCAGAAGTTCACTATACATAAAATCAACGCAAGTATCAGTAAAGCTCCTAATAAACTTTTTCCATAATAAAAGTTTTATGAATGAAACAGAAACATTAAATCTGCTGTAAGACAGAATAGGTAAAACTCTTCAAGACATTGGTACAGGCTAAGACTTTACGAACAAAATCCCAACTGCACAGGAACTATCACAAAGAATCAACAACAGGGATCTCTTCTTATTAAAAAGCTTCTAAACAGTAAGAAAAACCAACAACCAATTGAAGAGACAACCCACAATATAAGAAAAAATGTTTCAAGTAATCCTCAAAGGATTACTATTGAAAACACATTAAGATTTTTAAAAAAGTTCTCAAATTTAAAGACCGAATCCAACCTCTCAGATAAAGAAATATAAACAGAAAATAAAAATATGAAAAAAATGTTCAACATCACTGGTCATTTGAGAGAAGCAAACTAAAATAACACGAGATTCCATCTCAGATGGAAAGAACCCTTTTCCATGGTTGGGCGGGAATGCAGACTGGTGCAGCCCCTGTGGAAATCAGTGTGGAGATTCCTCAATTAAACTAGGATAGGAGGTCCCATTTGACCTGGCTATTTCCGATGGATGTCTTCCCAGATGAATTAAAAACGTAATGCCACAGAGATATATGCACACCTATGTTTATAGTAGCACAATTTATAATAGCTAATCTTGGAAACAACCCAAACACTCATCAATTGAAGAACAGATTAAAAAAAAGATGTAGCATTTTTATGTTCTATTACTCAGCCATAAAGGATAAACTTGGGACTTTTGTAGGTAAATGGATGCAACTAGTGACCATACTCATGAGCAAAATATATCAGACTCTCATGTGTAAATATTATTCTGTCTCCCTAGTATGAGAAGCTGAAAGAAATAAATATATATGATAGTTAAGATAGTTATACTACTAATTTTTCTTAGCTTATTGAAAAGAAAGGTTTGTGCTAATATTGTTTGGACAATTAAATATCGGTATCTTGTACACTGAGTAACTAATTTAAAGATAACAACATGCAATGTATTAACCATTGTTACCCTCTAATATCTTACTTTGAATTTTACTTTTTTTCTCTTTAAAATAAAAAATATTTTACAAAATAAACACTGGACAATGTACATGATAATTTAATAGCACTTTTGGGACAAACTAAAACGAGAGGAAATTTAATATTGTTTGAATAAAGTATCCAGGGCCCACAGTTGGTAAGAGGAAGGGCTAAACCTAAACCCAGTGTTTTATGATTGGGAATCTATTTATGCAAAGTCTGGACTATCTGCTCTATATTCACTTTCCATTTAGTTTTGTAAATACTTTCAAATAAGTTATCTACTTTTTCTTCACTGATACTCACAATATGCTTGAGAGGAAGGTCTCTAAGTACTGAATCCCCACCGCCCAACTTTAGGAGCACGTAATAAGGTAGCAGTGATGAATGAAGATCTTTTGACAGTGGGGTGTAGTGCCAGGTCTATAATCTTTGCTACTACTGGGGAGGCTGAGGCAGGATTACAAATTCCAGTCCAGCTAAGGCAACTTAGTGAAACTCTTCCTTAAAAAAAAATTTTTTTAAAAAGGGTAGAGGATATACCTCAGTAGTAGAGGAGTTGTTTAGCATGTGCAAAGTCAGGATTCAATCCTCAGTAAAGCCTCCCCCCCCAAAAAAAATCCTGGATTTTAGTCTGGCAGCAGCTCATTTTTCTTCCCTTCCCCCTCAGGTCTGGATGACTACCATATCCACTGGTAAACATGTTCAGTGCATATGAAGTTTATGTCTATCCTTTTTTACTTTAAGTTTTTTATGACACTCGGTTTTTTTACTTTTATTTTTTTTTGGTACCACGATTGAACTTGTGACCTCATGCTTGCCAGGCCGGTACTTAGGGTGCTGAGCTAAATCCCTGGCCCTAGTTTATGTCTATTCTATTGATCATGACTTGGAAAGCTAGTACTGACTTAAAAAAAAAAAGTTAATATTTAGTGGAAAACCTTAGAAGGAGCTATGACCTACAAGTGCTAAAGTGGTTTAATCTTGTTTTATTGTTGAGTACTTATTTGATACCAGGTACTGCAGCATTCTTGAACAGAAGCTCCTTGGGACTCCCAGGGGCTTTACAGTTTATTAAGAAGCCTAGCAAACAGTGTGCTAGAAGTCAAAGGAAGAATAGAAAGCATTATATAATAGTCCTTAGGACTGAGTGTCCCTACAAAGAAACATTCTTGGATGTTTCAATAATGATAATCTATAAAGGGAGTGAGAACCAGACCTCAGAGTAAGATAACAAATGTTAAGGCCCTAACCAAAAACTAAAAAAAAAAATCAAAAGATCCTTTGTGTATTGTTGAAAGGTAGACTATGGCACAATTCCTCAAATAAATGTTAAGATTTCTACATTAACACTCAAAAAACTGATACAGCTAATCTCAGAAATGTCTTCCAAGCTGCGCATGGTGGCCCATGCTCGTAATTCCTGCACTTGGAAGACTGAGGTAGGAGGATCACCGTGAATTCAAGGCCAGTATGGACTACAAAGTGAATTTGTGTCTAAAAAAAAAAAAAAAAAAAGAAATATCTTACAGGTTTCAAGTCATTTCTGTATATTATACATGAATTGTGTGTATATTTAACCTCTTTTTTACATCCAACATCTGCAGCAATTCAGTTACAAATCCTGCTGCTAATCTTCCAAACTTCCATCAGTGGTCTAAGAACTGCTTTCTCGGTTCCCTAAAATTGGAAAAATTGTGAAGTAAAACTGCAGACTCATTCAACCTCTTTCTTACTGACGTTTGCCTGTCTAGTACTCAATACTTTTTAGCTGTGTTTTTATCCATTTTGGTGGGCCTGGATGGAACCGGTTTGGACTTTGAGAGCATTAGTGATTTGTCCTTGTCTGACAGGAGGTAACCTGGGCAAGGAAACAACACTTCTTGTTTTTTTCTTTCCTCTAGAGATCAGAAGATCCTCTCTGTGGAGAACAGTCATGGATAAAACTATAATACTGTATACTATATACCTGTAACAGGCCTGGCTGTTACTATCAATAGATGAGTGCCAGTATGGGTCACAAACACAAATTGGTAAAACTGCAAATCCACGAAAGACAATAGTGATCTTCTTTATCACTTCGGCAAACCAAGACTAAAGTTTTGTTTTCTTCTAAGGAGTATCAAGAGGCTAATTTTTCTACTTTGTTACACTGCTACTATCTTAGAGTTTTAACTTTCAAGCCTTAACAAAATGAGACTCATTTTTATAATTTGGAAGACACAGAAAAACAAGTCAGCCTCATTCGCTACTCAAAGATAATGATTCTATTTTCATTTTATCAGCCAGTTTTTTAGATTACTCAATTATACTGGCTAGAAAACTACAAGATTTAACTGAGACTATGATATTTCAAATTTAAAAATGTGTAATTTAAATTTTAAAAATCAAATTTCTATTTAAAAGAAACAACTCTGCAAGCTGGCATATTAAATTTAACCCCAGACTACAACACATTCTTTCCTACAGCACAATGTTTGGAGTCAAAACATTGGCTACACTGTTACCTATAAAAGGTGAGTACACTGGGCTGAGCAAAAACCTAGGCAAAACAATTTCTGTATTTTCACAAAATATTATTCTACAAAATCAGAAGAGGTCACCTAGAGTTTTACAAATGAAAAAAGCTAAGGAGGAATACAAGTGCTGCTTAACACAAATTTACCAGAAGGCTAGTCAAAAAATTATTGCCTTGGACCAGGGATTTAGCTCAGTGGCATAAAATCCTGCCTGGAAAGTGCAAGGTTGTCAGTTCGATTCCCGCTACAAATAGAGAGAGAGAGAGAGAGAGTGAGAGAGAGAGAGAGAGAGAGAATAATTGCCTAGGAATTTAGACGGATTTTAGGGAGGAATTGCAAAGAGGACCCAAAAGGCAGAAAATATGAAGTCAGCAGTATCCTGACTTAATGTTGCCTTTTAATTCGTGATCAAACGAACTTGGTTGAATTACATGTCCAGTCTAATCAGTGTCCCAAGAGTCGTTTCTTTTTCAGGAAACCCTGGTCCCTTTGCCATCACCTAGCCTGAACCTCTAGCAGATCACGACACAGGCAACACCCATCTTTCAACGCTCTCCCATTCAATCGAGGCTGTTGCATTATCAACGCTGTTTTGAAGACAGTACATTTTAATTTCTCCGACTATCTTTTCTGGAGAAGAAAATGTTAAAGCACTACTTCCTCTTCACATTCGAAGCATGTGAAGATCCACAGAATTTCTCTTATAAGGATGTCGGATAAAACCCCTAGGATTATTGAGAAAGCCCATTTGGAAAGAAGCTTTTCAGTGACCGCAGTGAGGGCTCTGTCAGTGACATTCCCTCTCAATCCAGTCTCACTGGAAACGCCTCTGCCTGCAGGGATTTTTCCTACCTTTCTGCTCACCCGAAGAGTGCCCTGGCCAAAGAATGAGCTTTCAGGACCGAGACCTAGGAGTTGCTGCAGACCTCAAGGAATGGCTGAAGCACTCCCACCACCTGGAGCTTCAAAGGCTCCAGGAGCTCAGCAGGGAACCATAATGGCCGCACTGACTCTCAACCTCGGGAAATACGGTCCTTTCAACTCCTACGTCCAGGGGCGACCACAGAAGGCTCGGGGGGCCAGGAGATCCGGAGACTTCAGCTCCTTGCCAGTGTGGGGTGACAGCGGAGAGGATGCCCCAAGCAGTGAAGGCCGCCATTCATCCTCTTCCCTTCTTTTTTTGCCTCCACCCCTTCTACCAACCCTCCCAGTCACAAGATCACCGCTCACCTGATGGGCTTGAAAGAGCAGAAACTGTTCCCACCACCGACCCCGACGCTCTGTCACCGTGGGAGGAGAAGTCTTCTGCTGCAGGGGGGCGGTTCTGACTAGACACGTGACCTCGAGCTCCGCCCCGCCTCCCCCATGGCGGCGCGCGGCGTCTAATGGACTTGAATGTTAGCTGATCGCTTGAATATTAACTTTTTGCGATTAAAGTAAACATAAATTTTTACAACGACTGTGTTGTAAACTGCAATGCAGAAAGCGAGCCTGGCAAGGGTTAAAGAGCATCGCTAAGGAAGTGACGTTCAAGCCTTGATGTAGGGACCGGAAATGGCGTTAGCGTTCCGTCCTTCTGGGCCCCGCCGGCCAAATCCAGAGCTGTGAGGGTTGGGGCAGTCACGTGATTGTAATAGTTGAGGCTTGCAACAGTACCCAAGTTACCCGACCCATTGTTAATTACGTTTATTTTAAAAAAAAAAAATCACCGAATGTACTTGATTTTTCCAGACTTCTTTACATTTATAAGGGTCAGACAAAAAACCCTATGAGACAAGAGCGTTTGAAGGTCACTGTGGAGCGCCAGACTGCGGAGAACAGGGTTGAGCAACAACGACTTTGCGGATGTGGAAGTGGGGTGGGACAATCCAGGTTTTACCGCCAGGGCCTACCAAGCAAGCCCCACAAGAAGTGTGGCAAGAGATGGGAGGCAGGACATGACGCCCGGAGGCCCAGCCCGGGAGAAACATGGAGGCCAAGGAGCGAAGGGGGAAGGGTGCGCGGAGGCAAGCAGTGCGGCTGCGCGCGAGGCGGTGGACGCACGGCGCGCAGAGGGGGCGGGGTGAAAGGTCACAGCACGGCGGCGGGGCTGGCTGGCGGCGGGCGGGAGCGGACTGCCCCTTGTGCACGTGTGGAGAAGCGGCGGTACCTGCGCGCCGGCGGGAGACGTCCCCGCCCTCTCCGCAGATTAAGGCCGTGCTCGACTTTTGCGGCCTCCGTCAGCCCCTCAACTCTCTGCTCTAGGCGAGGAGGCCGGCTTGGGTTGAGTGGCCCGAGCTGAGGGCGCGGAGAGCTCAGGGCGGCGAGGACGACGGCGTTGAGAGTGGTGGTAACGACGGCCTCAGCAGGCGGGGAAGATGAAAGGGTGAGGAAGGGCAGCCGGGTCGGGCCGTGGAAACGGAGCGTGCTGCGAAGCAGGGGGAGACGGAGCGCAAAACCCGAGGGAGAGTTCTGGGGTTCTCGGTTCAACTCCAGTCACGGAGGGGGCGGCGGCGAGGCAAGGCTGTTGGCGGGCTGAAAGGGCGGCGGGGGCGAGGGGCGGGGAGCCAGGACTGCGGCTCGGGGAACGAGAGTGGGCTGGCCGGGGCGACGGGGAAGAGCTATTGTGAGGCGCCTGGGGCCTCCGCCGGCGGCGCGCGGCTGGGCCGCCTCCGGCCCACAAGTTCGGGTGCAGCGGTCTGGTTGTCCTGCTGTCCATGTACAGGCTGAACACTAGAACTGCGGTGTTTGACACTTTTCGGTTGTATTCCCACTTGGGAGCTATGCAGAACCTTCGTAGGAAGAAGGAATTAGAATAAAGAGCACGGGGATGAGTATTAAAAGATAGTGACTCAACTAGATTTGGGTTGGATCAGAACGAGTGGAGGAGGGGGAATGAACTCGATTTGGGGTGCCAACATATTTAAGGAAGTATTTGCATCAGTAGGTGGAGCTCTTGCTTCAGTTGTCGGAATTGCCCCTGACTCTTTGAGGGGCTCTTGGGTTATTCTTGTTTGTCTGAAGTCTGTTGGCAAAGTTAAGGTTCGATCTTTCAGTCTCTGGCTTGGATAAAATGAAGGATTATTTTGGTTTAACTTTACATTTGGATAAAATGTCATCATTAACGTATATACTGTTAAAATACTAGTTACACCGCATTGTGTAAAAAAGCAGTGCTTTAAAAAGCCATTTTGCAGTTTGCCTTTATAGTCTTTGGAGAATGAAATGGAAGCTTGTAAGCTTTCTGAGACGCTCGAGGTGGTTTTTTTCTTATCACGAATTGATTAAAGAATTGTAACTGTGCTTGAAGTTAGTAAAACTATTCAAACTATTCATCAGCTATTTTGAGAATGAAGTAAGTCACTTTTTGGAGTGAGCTCTTGATACCTAAATAAGAGCTTAAATAGTATTTCTATTTACCTATATTTGAAGGCACATAAAAGATTATGAGAAAGTTTAATTCGGTCTTAGATCTGTTAAATGTTTTGTTATTCTGATTTTTCTTTAAGTACTGCATATTCATTACAATGTTGAATTGCCTATCTTGAAAATATTTGCTGCACTTGAATATCGATCCAGGAAGTTTGACTGTTTCATATGTTATCCAACGTATTTAGGGAGTCTTCGTTTTCTGGTAAGCTGTATTCCTGCAGTATAGATGTTCTCTAATTTTTTTTCTATTCTCAATGCCACGTATTCAATACGTATTTGTCACATTCTGTTAAAGTAATAAAAAGGAGCATGAAGAGTTTCTCGTGTTGAAATTGCCATGGACTTGTAAAGTCCCCCAAGAGATTATTCTGGACATGTAGATCTAAAATTTAGCTCAGTCTCCATAGGATGTAAGTAAGACTTTATGATATCTAACTTGGCAACACAAATGGGGCCAGTGATATTATTCACAGCTAAATTAATACATTCGTGAAACTACTCTTTCCATTTTAAGTGAATACAGAAGTGTAACCTGATCCAGATACCTAGAAATGACTAACTGGACAAATTTAGAGGGAAATTTTTTTTTTTTGGTGATGGTGGTTGTGGTGCCTCAAAATGCTAGAGAAGCATTATACTGCTGCTAAGCTACATCCCCAGCCCTAAATTTGGAGAAAAGTTGAGTTACTGAAATCTTAAGCCGGCAACCATGCATAAAAATGTTGCTTCCTTTAGGCCGAAGTTGCTTGTTTTTATGAATCAAGGGGACTGTGGCTTGAATTTGTGAATTATAAGCTGATTATGTTTGTTAGTCCTTTTTAGGGAAGAGGATATTCAAGCAAGATATTTGCCATAGACATCCATGACTGGGGTGGCAATATAATTAGTCATCAGTGTAATGGAAAGTAAAACTAAAACCTTTTGTTCTTCAATTTTAGTAAAGAGGTACAGATTAGTTCTAATAAAAATGGCTTTAACATGAATACTTATGAATAGAGTTGCCAAAGTAGAGAAAGAAAAATCGGTAGCAATATTATGAATATATTTCTGTATAGTCTATGATTTAAAATACTTAAAGGAGCCATTTTGACCAAATGTTACTAGAAAATACAACTGAAATATAAGATACTGCCATCTGAAACAAAAATCACTATCATTTAGATTAGGAAGGGGCACAGGGCAGTGCTGGAAATAGTCTATCTTTAACTGTGTGTTGATTGATTACATAGATTTTATATATACACACACAACATAGCTATAAAATAAGTTGAAAACAAGATTTGTGGTCTTTGCTGAATGTATCTTAGGTCTGTAAAACTTTTAAAAGATTATCTTTTTTCTTAAAGATTATCTTAATGTTTTTGTCAATAAGAAAAAGCTAGTCAGGCTAAAATAGCATTTCACAACTTTTATAAATCTGCAATTCATACTTTTTGCTTTATGAAACCAATTTGTGCTTGTCTATTAAGATACTGAATCATAAAAAATACTTTATAATGTTCCCTTTGCTATGTAGAAATCAAGTCATATAAATTCCTATATATACTACAATTTTTTTTTTTTTTGAAACCAGATCTCGCTGTGTAGTTTAGACTGGTCTTGAATTCATGGCAGTCCTCCTGCCTCAGCCTCCTAAGTGGGGATTACAGAGTACAGTTTTCTAAAATAGAAATTTAATGCTCTACTACAAAGGATAAATGGAAAGTAAATGATAAAATCTCAGTATGTGATGCTCAGATATAGCGATGTAGCAAAACACAAGCATCAGTTTTTTGCTCTGTCTGTAAAAAGAATCATTGTATAATTTAGAAAGTATCTGTCACCTACACAGTTTTATTGGTGACCCATGCTGGATTACCATTAGTAGAGGGATTTCTTTTCCCAAGTTTGTGAACTACTTTTAGAAAAACTTAACAAAAAGTACTTAAGAATTTCTTTGTTGGAGAAGTTTTTAAAGATTATCTAGTAGGCTGAATACTTGTCTGTTGCATCTATATGTATGTTCCTTGATCATCATTTTGAACATCCTGACTAGTGTTGCATATTAGTGAACTTGGGATATATTTCCTGTTATTGAGCTTTGTGTCCAAATTAATTTCATCTTGTACACATTATCATCAACCAAAATTTCCCACTGGATGTGGTGGCATAGGCCAATAAGTCCAGCATGAAGGAGGACAGGAGTTCAAGGTTGGCCTAAATTATATATGTAGCAAGACCCTGTCTTAAAAAAGAATTTTTTTCCCTAAGTCTTTTTTTTTTTTTTTTTTTTTCTTTTTGTCTTTTTCCTTTTTATCGGTACCAGGGATCGAACTCAGGACTGCCTGCTTGCAAGGCAGGCGCTTATGCCGCTGAGCTAAATCCCCAGCCCCCTCCCTAAGTCTAAAAAGCATTGTTTTTGAAGGCCAGTGCTTTTACCAGACCAAACTAGTACCTGTATTAAATTTCACTTTGATGTTTGAATCCTGTGAAAATCCAAAATTTCTCTTTCAGGTAGTAACTCTGGCTTTCAACTTCAGGACATCTGATGAGACATGCTTTCTCCATTATTCAATGTTTTTTCTTAATCTTTTTTAAAAAATATGGCCTACAGTAACCAATAGAACCCCACTAATAGTAGAAGCATTCTTGGTTGTGAAAATGAATATTCTTATGGATTTTTTTTTTTAAAAGAAATAGTTGTTTAAAAACAAGAACTCTTCCTTTAGAATCTAGTTTCCAGATGGTAGATAATTTGAATGTTTCAACTTGTGAGCCAGCAGTTAATTTGTAACTCTTTTTTACCTCTGTGGTAAAGGACTATGAGGCCACCATTCCAGTTTTTTGTGTTAATAAGATCATATGTTTGTTTGTGTTGAGATAAGATCTCTGTGTAGCCCAGGCTGGCCTGGAACTCTGCAGTCCTCTTGCCCCAGCCTCTCTCTTGCTGGGATTATAGGCACTTGCTACCACCCCCAACTGCCACTTCAGTTCTACTTCAATCATTTCTGTATTTATATGCCATCTTTGAGCTAGTGCAACCTAAGTTCTGCTATTGTCATTCCTAAAGCTGTTCTTAAGAGAAAACCTTTTGTTTCAAGTCTTTAGGCTTATCATCTCAGTCCCCTACATGCTGTAGTGAACACTTGGTTAAACTACTAGGCATATATCTTTTATTATTTCTTTCCATTAACTTCCTAAAGTGAGTAATTGAGCTGGCAATCAGAGGATACTTTTTTTTTTTTTTTTAAAGCTTTGATATTTGTTGCCAACTTGATCTCCAAAAGTAGCAATTTACACCCTCAACAGTGTGAGAATATTTTTCTTGTCTAAGGGCAGTTTTTGTTTTTGTTTTTTGTCTTTTTGAGACAAGGTCTCTATGCACTTCAGGCTGGTCTTGAGCTCATTTTGTAGCGTAGGCTGGTCTCAAACTTTCAGTGCTTCTTTCTGCCTCAGCTTCCTGAATGCTGGAAATACAGGCAGATTTTAAAGGGGAGGGAAACTTGTAAAAATCTGAAAATGAAAGAAGGCATTAGTACCTATCCCAGCCAAGAGTAGTATAAATTTTTGTCTAGAATGTGCTGTGCACCTTGAATTTTTGTAAAATGATAAAAAATAATAAATTTCCTTACAAGTTCGTTTGAGTACACATTTGTGTATAAGTTTAATTGTAGTATTACTTTGCTGATAAGTGGTATTTTTTTCCCTTTTTAAAAAAATTGTTATTGAAGTGGACATTTTTCACTTTTAGTGGTCATTTGTTTATCTTTGTGACTTACCTGTGTTTATAATTTACCTGATTTTAACTGGGATACTGATTGCATGTACTTCAGATGACAAAAGAATCAAAGATAATGTTCAGAGTGGTGCCAGTTTAAGATCTAGATGATTTGAAAGAAAAATTTCAAAGGCATTTGGAATGAGTGCACTTTCTAGTTTATATAATTTATTGTATAACTTAAAGGAAACTTCCTGCAACACAAATAGTTGCTAGCAGAAGGACCACTTTGTAAGTACTTTGACCTCTGGGCCTTGGTTGCCTTTTCTATAAAGGGAAGGGCTAGAATAGCCAGAGATTCTCACAGACGGATTCTAATCCATTGTAGGTATCAAAGCTACAAATAGCTTTGATTAAATTCTCAGACTGAAAAAGGTGCTTTTATTGAATCCTGCTGTGATATATATATCAAATGTTTGCTATTTCTTTCTTTGTCAGCACTTTATGATACCAAGGAGCAAAACTTTGAAGTTATATTTGAATTTTTTAAACTGATCAGTTTGTCCTTGTGCCTGCCTACTTTCTTATCCCTTCTCCTCAATGATTTGTTTTACTTTTCTTTTCTTTTTTTTTTTTTTTTTGTACTGAGAATGAAACTCAGGACCTTGTGTTTGCCGGGCAGGTGCTGCGCCACTGTGTTATATCCCCGGCCTGTGTGTGTGTGTGTGTGTGTGTGTGTGTGTGTGTGTGTGTGTGTGTGTTTTAAACAGCTACCGCTGCTTAGTGGATCAAGACAGATTTTTTTTTTTTGAAGGGGAGAGAGAATGAGGGAGACAAAATTTCACTTGGTAGTTCAGGCTACACTCATTGTGTGTATCCCAGGCTTGCCTCAACTCTGTGAACCTCCTGCCTCATCCTTCTAAGTGCTGAAATTATAAGCATGTGCCATAATGCCCAGCTAGATTCTTACTCTTCATCATATTGCTGTTAAGGATGGTATAGTGTTTATAAAATATTAGTGCAAAAGCAGGTACAAAAGTAAACCAAGAAAGAAAGAGCTAGGTGGGTTTGGAGTAGTTTTATATGGGCAAACAGTTGTTGGAACGCTGAAAGAAAACTATCAGTGACCACAATAAGTGATGAAGAGGTGTATCTGTGTGTTTGAATTTTCATTTTGTAGATTATCTGCATTCATTGAAAGATTTTAAGCACAGAAGTCATCAATTTGTCTTTTAGAAGGATTATTCTGATTGCATTGTGATACTGTTTTCTCTTACAGCTCTAGACTTACTCTCCTATTTGGATTTATGCTGGATGGCCCAATTCATTGCTAGGAGAATGGTTATGAAACTGTCCTGGGAAGCAAAATTAATAGGACTTAAAATACAGCATTTGATGATACATCAAAGTAAATTTCATAGGATGAATGATGGGGATATTTGTAAAGATATCGAACAGCTGGACATGATGCTACAATCCCCAGCTTTTGGGAAGCTGAGGCAGGAAGATCACTATCAGCTCGAGGCCAGCCTAGCCTACATAGTGAGCTCAAAACCAGCGTGAATTACACAGAGACCCTGTCTCAAAGAGGAGGAGAGAGAGAGATTGATTGAGAGAGATTAGACTTTGGTGTTCTAATTTCTTATGGAAAAATGATGTCAGTTTTGGCTAAGTTGAATTTGAGGTTCCATGGTTATTACTAGTAAGCCATCAGAAGTGCATGGTTGGCTTGAGATTTGGAAATAAAAACATTAACATTTAGATGGTAGCAAAGGAAAAACTGCCTGGAAAGGAGCTCTCCTAATTGTGTAAGACAATGGAAAAAGTTTTTCCACAGAATAATTTGGGTATGTCCTTGAATAGATGGTGTCTATGATTAGCATTAGTAACCAGATAATTGCTGAGAGTTGGAGATTTGAGATTTTGATCTACCAAACCAGTACTTTTTTGATGCCTGCTGAACTACCAGAACAATGTCTCTCAACCATGGGTACTCAGCCCTCCACCCCTACTCCCATACATATACTCTTTCCAAATACTCTATTGGTAAATGTTTGGAGATATAGGAAGGTGGGGAGAATTTTAGTACCTAGTGGGTGGAAGTTAGAGATGCTATTAAATACAGGAAAGCACACCCCAAAGAATTACTCAGCCTCAGATCTTATTTAATACTGAAATTGAGAAACTCTAAAATCTAGATGAGAGTCCATCAATTGTAATAAGGCTAGAGATTATTTGAATACTTATCCTAAGTTTTTTGTTTTGTTTTTGTTTTTGTCTTTTAGAGCTAGGTCTTCGCTATGCAGTTCAGGCTGGCATTGGGCTCATTTTGTAGCCCAGGCTGTTCTCAAACTTGCAAATGATTCTCCTGCCTCAATCTTCCAGGTACTGGGATTACAGGAGTATGCCACTATACCTGGCATCACCCTCTATTGGTATCTCCAGACTAGTAGCTTTGGGGCACAAACACAAAGGAAGAGAAGGACTGCAGATCTGCGGACCAAAGTTACAGCTCTTAAAAGATTCAATGAGACTTTCCCAGAGAGAGAGATGGCTATGCAGTATGAAAGTACTTGGTTTTGCATGCTATTACTTTGCTATATTTTGTCTATTAAGCTAACGTGTTAAAGACTTGCCAGAAATAGCCATATAGGTGAGTTTATCCAGTAGGGTTTCATTAAATTACACAGCAGTAAAATGGTGATGCTGTACTCTCTGAGATGACTGGCAGCTTTCAAACACAGAAGCTCCCATTTGCTTAATGCATCTGCTTACTCAGAAAGCAGAAAATTATGAACAACATAATTCATAAAATATATTTTATGACTGTAGTTTTTTGGGATATAATATTTGCCTACTTTTGTAAGTATTAAAGATGTGCAAGTGGTAGTCAAAGTGTTAATGGTCATTTCTATACTATACAGGTTATTAGGTCCTTTCTGAGAGATATAATTGTCTTCAGTTTATTGTATCTTTTGGGGGAAAGATAATTAATAGTAATTACTATTGAATTGGTAATCTGTTTCCAGTGGCATCTTGGCTTATGATATGGGAAGCTGAAAAGACCCTCGTAGGAAATAGTAGGTGGGTTTAGGGTGCTTAGGCAGTCTTACAGTCCTGGCAGATCCTTTGGTTCTCCTTCAAGAGTAAAGATCCAAGACTCATTTACTCTAGTCTTTGGTTCTTAGCAGGCTATTGTCATTTCCTTTGTCTTGGGGGGAACTCCCCCTTTTGGGGGGGGCAGTTACCTGGAATCAAACTCAGGATCTCACATTTGTCAGGGAGGTGCCGCACCTTTGAGCCAAGTCCTGCCTCCAGGGCCACAAGTTTTTGTTCTATTTATAATACCTCTTTGAGAAAGTAGTATGGGATAAGTGTATTCAGATGTTGAAATTGTTCGGTGGCTTTACTTTAAACATGATGAAAGAGCCAAAATACAGAAAATTTATCTTTTGCTTGTGAATATTAACTGTACCACAGTATAATCTTGTAGACTAAAACTTCTTTTGGAATCTGAAACCTTGTGATGACCGTGCATTCATGCCATGATAGCACTGTGTTGATATGCATTATCTAAAATTTGTCATTTTCTAAATTTCTCAATTTATTTTTAGTTGACCAGCCTCCACTAGAGTTTTAGATCTTAAAGTCTCAATGTTCTGTGTTTTTTTTATATCTTAAAAGAGGGATATACACTCAGTGCTAGAGTGCAGACCTAGTTTACACGAGACTCTGACTTCAATCCCCAGTGGTGCTAGAAAATTTGTTTTCTTTTTACTAAACAGACTAGTCTGTGCTGACAATAATTAATAGTGGGCTGCATAAAGAGGCCCAATCATCTCACTAGTTAAAATTCCAAAACTGAGCATAGCAGCACACACTTAAAATCTCAGCATACGGAAGGCTGAGGCAGGAGAATTGCTACTACTTCAAGGCCAGCCTCTCTCCCCCGACCCAAAGCAAGCCACTGAGAAGAAATGAGATGGAAAAAAGAAGAATGAAGTTCATAAGATCCTGAAAACCATAATCCCAGAGGACAGTCATCAAAGTGTAAAACTTTTCTCTAAAAGAAGTACATGAAAAGGTGCTCAGTACTGTTTTTTATTTAGAGACATAAAAACCACAAGATGCCATTACCCACTTAATAGAATAGCATACATTTTAAATGGTGACAATACCATTTGTTGGAGATAATGTAGAACAACCAGAATGCTCATACGCTTATCGTATAACCCAGCATTCTCACTCCTAGTGTTAAGGATTACTCAAATTGTGTATGCTCACCACATTCCAAAAACCAAGGGAGACTTGATGAAAAGGAAAAACAACTTTATTTAAAGCTAGTTCCTTGGGGCTGGGGATTTAGCTCAGTGGCATAAGTGCCTGCCTTGCAAGCAGGCAGTCGTGAGTTCGATCCCTGGTACCGATAAAAACGAAAAAGACAAAAAAATTAAAAAAAAAAATAAAGCTAGTTCCAAGGAGACAGAGAGCTTCGTATCATCTCAAATCACTATCTCACTTGTGTTTTGGTGTGCAAGGGATTTACAGTAAGGAACAGAGGGGTGAAGAAATCCAGTGAGATTAATAGATGTCTCCAGGCTTGTTTCAAAATCATCTTTCTGAGGGGCTGGGGATTTAGCTCAGCGGCATAAGCGCTTGCTTTTCAAGCAGGCAGTTGTGAGTTCGATCCCTGGTACCGATAAAAACGAAAAAAGACAAAAAAAAAAATCATCTTTCTGGACCCCTTTTCCCTGTGTAAACAAAGTCAGACCCTGACCTCCTGGGGCCAGAATCTACATATTCTGTCTTTTTCTCCTGGGAAGCAGTTTATGTCCTCTACAAGAGGTACTTTTATCTTTTTTTTTTTTTTTTTTTGGTGCCGGGGAATTTAACTTACAACCATAGGTTTCCCAGGGAGGTGCTTATGCCACTGAGCTATATCCCCAGCCCCTTAGGAGGAACTTTGGTTAGCAACTTGTTTTGTTTTGTTTAGACAGGGTTTTGCTGTATAGTGTAGACTGGTCTTGAACTTGCTTATATTGCTCAGGCTGGCCTTGAACTCACAGGAGATCCTCTGTCTCCTCCAGAGTGCTGGGATTACAGGTGTGTGCTACTACACCTGGCCACACCTTGTTTCTCTTTTCTTTTTCTTATTTTATTTTATTTTTTACCAGTACCAGGGATCGAACTCACAACTGCCTGCTTGCAAGGCAGGCGCTTATGCCACTGAGCTAAATCCCCAGCCCCTTGCAAATTGTTTCTAAAAGAAAAAAATTTAACTTTTAAAGATCTATTTTGTCCTCGCTGCCACACTAGGTATTTATTAAAAGAAATAAAAACTTAAGTTCACACAAAAATCTGTATGCAAATGCTTATAGTAATTTCATTATATAATTTTTTTCAACTAGAGGATAGGGCTAGGAGTGTAGTTCTATATGTGTGAGTCCCTGGGTTCTACCACTAACACAAAAATAACATTTAAAAAAAAAAAACCCCACACTGTGCCTATACAAATGAATACTACTTAAAGTAACAAGAAATGAACTCTGTGTTGATACAACAGCATGGCAAGTCTTACAGGCATTATGTTGAATCAAAAGCCAGTCACTATTATGTGATGAAATTCTTGACATGACAAAACTATGAGGGGCTGGGGATTTAGCTCAGCGGCATAAGCGCCTGCCTTGCAAGCAGGCAGTCATGAGTTTGATCCCCAGTACTGATTTTAAAAAAAAGGAAAAAGACAAAAAAAACTATAGGGAACAGAAAAGAGATTAGTAGTTGTCTGGAAGTAGTAGAATTGAACTGCAAAATGTTGTGGAAAAATTTCTTGGGGTTGTAGAACTGTTGTATGCTGATAACATGACTGCATAATTGCATATTTCTATAATGGTGATTAATGATAATAGGGTATTCGGTAAAGCTTATGGAACTATATACACAAAAAATGGACTTAAAGTTAGAATACTATGGAAAATTCCACCCCACCCCACCCCCAAAAAAAACCTGGTAAGTGAAGAATAACTTAATTGTTGATACAGACTGAAAATTGCTAACTGGTACACTTAATTTGGCCAAATCATTACTGACACTAAATTTGACTAAATACTTGAATTGTCGTGCTAAATAAATAGGACTCAAGTATAAGTTGTTAATAAGAGACATGTTCTATTTGCTGTTTATTTACTTATTGAAGAGATGGGATCCCAGCATGTTGTCCAGGTCGGTCCCAAACTCCTGGACTCAAATAGTTCTATTCAGCCTCTTAAATAGCTGGTACTACAGGATAGCACCACCATCCTGGTTACACTTAGAGGATACCGAGAAGTTATATTCAAAAAATAAAAAAGGTTAAAGATGCACTGATTATAAAAAAGGTGTATGTGTCTGTATGATGGACTAAGTTAAGATGAATATCAGTAACTGATTATATGACATGTGTGTGTCTGTGTGATGGACTAAGTTAAAATGAATATTGATAGCAAAAGGGAGGGAAATTTGAGCCAGGAATGTAGCTCAGCGGCACAGCACCTACCAACCAAGCCTGAGATCATAAATTCAGTCCCTAGTACAAGGGGGGGGGGGATTTCAAAATTGAATCAAATTACAAATTCTTCATATCAGCCCTTAATACTTGTACACTCACTCTATTAACAGCTTGAAAATATGTGAAGCAAAAAGGACCATTTCCAAACTTTCTTTGAAGGCAACATAAGAAAGCCTGACAAAAAAATTATAAAAGGAAGAAAAGCAGATGTGTTCGTAAATCACTTTGATAAAGACAGAAGATAAGACTATGCAGCCAAGGATGGAGAGGCCATCAACAAAAAACTACATAAGAAACATACTGTGCAGAGAGGTGATCAGAAATTGAGTTTTTGCTGGAGATTCAGCTCAGTGGCATAAGCGCCTGCCTGGCAAGTGTGAAGTCGTGAGTTAATCCCCAGCACCACAAAAAAAAAAAAAAGAAAAGAAATTGAGTTTTTAGTATGTTTACCTTGAGTTTTCTATTAGAGATACTTCAGATACAAGAGTTTGGCCTTCTGAATGAACTTTAGGTTAGAGTCAGAAATTTGGAAGTGGCAATGTTAAAGTCTTAAGATTGTGAGATAAAATGATGTCACTAAAGGTAAAAGAACTCTTAAAATTAGTTCTCAAACTCTTAACTTCCTATGTTTACACTCAAGTACATTTGATATTTGGCCTTATTTAGCAAAGATAGCTTTGAAAACACATGATTGCTACTTGGTTGATGCTTTCCTTCTCAGAGAGTATTTCCTCCCCACAGAACAAACTCCTGGTCATCCTGTAAAACCTTCCCCAGAATCATCTCTATTCTAGTACTATTTTAGTATGTGGTATACACATGCTGTTACTAGCACGTTATACAGAGTATGTGTGCATTTTAGATCAGGTATTCAAATATTTTTATTGAAAGAAATGATGTATGCTTTGAGTAGGGATCTCATAAAAACTGCAGAAAAATTTAAGAGTTACAGAGTACTTTTTTGGTTTTTGAACTTGAAATTCTCCTGTCTCAACCTGTCAAGTTCAGAGATTACAGGTGTATGCCACCATACCCAGCTAGATTTACAGAATTTTTAAAAAAATAGATTGTCTTTTCTGATATTTTTGATGATTTTGCTTTTTTGAAACAGGATCTCCTTATGTGTTCACGGTGGTCTCAAACTCAGTAGCTATCAGGGATCTGGCCAAGATCCCCAACTGTCTGTTTGAGGGGTACAGCGAAGGATAAAATAAGAAACAGAGGGGCTGGGGATTTAGCTCAGCAGCATAAGCGCCTGCCTTGTAAGCAGGCAGTCGTGAGTTCAATCCCTGGTACTGATAAAAACGAAAAAGACAAAAAAAAAAAAAAAAAAAAAGAAACGGAGACAAATTTAAAGCTCTGTGCTTTTTCCCCCTCATAAAACAGTTCTCAGTAAGTTGCCCAAGGAGGCTCAGAATTTTCAATGCTCTTCCTTAGCCTGCCAAATAAACAGAATAATAGACATTGTGACTGGATATAGTTTTTTGAATATCCTTTCAAATATTTATGTATTAACAAAAGTTCGATTGTTGTATATGTCAATGGAATGTGCTTTTTTTCTTTGTACAATATATTATATTTGTGCTAGTTATGTGTGAACATGAACATAGCTTGTTTTAAGCAGTCCGTGTACTTGAACACTTATACTTTCCTTTTTTCTTTTTTGCCTTTATTAAAGTACAGTAATTAACATTCTTGTTTAGTTATTTATTTTATTTTATTTTATTTTTTTGGGTTTTTTTTCTTTTTGTATCAGTACTGAGGATCGAACTCACGACCACACACTTGCAAGGCAGGCGCTTATGCTGCTGAGCTAAACCCCAGGCCCCTCTTGTTTAGTTATTATCTTCAGCAAAGAATTTTCACACTCCAGGTAGGAAGGATGCAAATGATTAATTAGCATACAGTGTCTGGATTTCATTGCTAACTTAATGGTGGTACCCTTATGATCTCAAACTAGCACCTGGCCACTTGATCAGCGTCAGATAATTTTATTTATTTATTTACTTATTTATTTTGACTTAGTACTTTTTTTCTTTTGTCATTTTTTACCACTCGCTGTTAATAAGTTTATTTTTGTTATTTTTGTTTTATTTTTTGGTACCAGCGATTGAACTCACAACCTTGCACTTGCCAGGCAAACATTTATGCTGCTAAGCTAACTCTTCAGCCCCAGGTTAATGATATTTTAGAAGACAAATAGGGCTGGAAGTATAGCTCAGTGAAGAGTGTTTGCTTACTATAAGCATGAGGCCCTGAGTTGAATTACCACCACTGGGATAAAAGAAGGTAGCAAGTAATAATAATAAGTGATTGTGTCTTTGATGGTGCTGGCTGTGGTAGGAAGAAAAATCGTAAAGATTTCTGTTTAGGTTTGCCTTATCACACTTGATGAGCCTTTATCTTACAGCAAAATTCACTTGAGCTATTCAAAATGTATTTTGACAGTATGGCAGGCAAAACAGCTTAGTTACCATAAGTTACGAACTTTTGGGCTTTTAATCCTTTTTCTAATGAAAGTAATCATTTTAACTACGTGGGGTTTTCTTAGAAATACTGTTGCATCCCTTGATAGGCAGTTTTCAAGTGTGTTTTTCAAAATGAATTCTCTTGCTCCATTTCCAGAAATTTTGATTTCTGAAACGGGTGTCTAGGAATTTGAATTTGAGTACATGTCTGAATCTGATAGTGATAACACTGTTTTGTGTTTGCTTTGTGTTTTGTTCAATAACATGGTCTAACTATGTAGTTCAGACTGATCTTAAAGGCACTAAGCCGCACAGGCTGGCTTCAAACTCATACTGTCTCAGTTTCCTGAATACTAGGATTACCACTATGTCTGGCTGGACCACTGTTCTTGAATTATTTTCGTGAATTCTTAGAAGTAGCACTACCTTTTTTTTTTTTTTTTAGAAGTACCACTAACACCAAGATGTACTTTTTAGACTTTTCAATACATGATAGATTGTCCTCAAGAGATAGAACATATTTATATTCCCATGTATAAGATATAAGAATATCATTTGCTATAACCTTGTCAGTATTAAATATTAAATCTTTTTATCAGTAAAGGATTATCTAATTGTAGGATATTCTGGCCTTCTTAGTTGTTGTTGAGTACTGTCTTTGTCACTAAGTATTTATAAAAACTTTGAGCAGAGTTTGAAATAAATGCCTGTGAAGTTTGCTTGTATCTAAATGGTAGTCATAGAAGACTATGAAAAGTTTGGACTTGTCAGTGACAAAAACTGTTTAGTGCCAGCTAGGCGTGGTGGCACACACCTGTAATCCCAGCACTCAGGAGGCTGAGGCAGAACTATCATTGGGAGTTTGAGATCAGCCTAGGGTACAAAGTGAGCTCGAGGGCAGCCTGAACTACATAGTGAGACCCTGTCTCAAAAAGACCAAAAAATAACAAAAAGAAAAGGTTTGGTGACCCTTTTTAATGTTTATCGTAACAAATAAAGGTGATTATTACTTTTTACTGAGCACCTTTTGATTTGTTCCAGTAGCCGGATCGAACTCGGAGATGTAACACCACACAATATCAAACAGTTGAAGAGGTTAAACCAGGTCATCTTTCCAGTCAGCTATAATGACAAGTTCTACAAGGATGTGCTGGAGGTTGGCGAGCTAGCAAAACTTGGTACAGTGTGGTTTTTCTTCATCCTTTTAAAACAATGTGTAGTTTTTAACTGTACCTGTTAATGTTAGAGCAAGATGTTAATTAATTTAGTCTTATTATACAAGTGGAAAAATGAGACTAATCTAAGTTTTGAGAAACATCTTAGAGATAAAATAATTGAATTTTAAAAGGAAATGCAGGGCCAGAGCTCAGCGGCACAATGCTTGCCTAGTAAGCATGAGGCCCTGAATTCAACTCCTGGTACAGAAAAAAAGGAAATGCAAAATGTTTATTATTTATTTATTTAGGTACTGGGAATAGATAGAATTCAGGACTTTGCACCTGCAAGGCAGGCGCTGTGCGACTGAGCTATATCCCCATCCCAAAATGTTCATTATTTAATGTGCACATGTGTGTTGTCACTGCTTGGGCTTTACTACAAAGGAGGCTTAACCTTCCTAAGATAATTTAAGAATGAAAACTCTTGGGCTGGGGGTTTATCTCAGCAGCATAAGCACCTGCCTTGCAGGCAGGCGGTTGTGAGTTCGATCCCCGGTACCGATAAAAATGAAAAAGACAAAAAAAAAAAAAAAAAAAAAGAATGAAAACTCTTAAAGAATTCTGGAAATTCTTTTGAACATCCACAGTGGTAGAGTAGCTGATTAAAATTTAGCGCTAATTAGAAACAATGTAGTCTTTTAGAAGAGAGGATTAAATGTGTTATTTTATCCACTGAACTTTGTATCTTTTATATTTTCTACCACAGCCTATTTCAATGATATTGCTGTAGGTGCAGTATGCTGCAGGGTGGATCATTCACAGAATCAGAAGAGACTTTACATCATGACCCTAGGATGTCTGGCACCTTACCGAAGGCTAGGAATAGGTAAAGTTACTTGTGGTGGTATTTTTGTTTTGTTTTGTTTAACTTCTTCAAAGAAGCTTAAATACATTGTTATATATCTAGTAAGTCCGTTTGTTAAGATAATTCAGCTGGAAGCCATGTATAAATTTATATATCTTTGGATCAAGTTTTAGTTGTCGGGCTGGGGATTTAGCTCAGCGTATACACTTGCCTTCCAAGTGCCTGGTCGTTAGTTTGATCGCTGGTACCAAAAAAAAGTTTTAATTGTCTGTAAGGGTTTGTATAAAAAGATTGTTCTCTTACTAATTGTTTTAAATGTAGTTATATAGAGAGCATAAAATTTGGGAAAATAAATCTAGTGTATACCTTGGAAATTCTATTAGGACGTGATAAGATACAGAATTTAAAGGTTGATTTATAAGATTACTTACTTGTTTGTCTTATTAATAGGAACTAAAATGTTAAATCATGTCTTAAACATCTGTGAGAAAGATGGCACTTTCGACAACATCTATCTGTAAGTAAAATAATATTTAATGTTCTTCTCTGAGTTTAATAAATTGTCAGTAAAAATCTTTACTAGTAACTTTAAAATCTGGCCACTTTGTGTCTTTGAAAACACCATGGAAGTATATTTGTCCCTAGAATCTATTAAGGAGTTGGTTCTAGGATCCTCCAGAGGTATAAAAATCTGAGAAGCTCAAACCTCTTTGTAAAACAGCGTAGTATTGTATGTGACCTATAGATATCCTCTTACATCCTTTAAACCAACTTATATAACTTTCAGTATTTATACAATTAAAGGCTATGTAAAAATGCTGAATTGCTTAGGGAATAACAAAAATGTTTATTCAGTACAGATGCAAGTTTTTTTTTTGGGTTTTTTTGTTTGTTTGTTTGTTTGTTTTACAATATGTTTAATCTGATTGCTTGGTGTGGTGGCACACTCCTATAATCCCAGCACTCAGGAGGCTGAGGCAGAAGGATCATTGCAAGTTTGAGACCAGCCTCGGCTACAAAGTGAGCTCAAGGCCATCCTGAACTGCATAGTGAGACCCTGTCTCAAAAAAAATATTTGTTTGTGTGTGTGTGTATTTTTTAAATGTTGGTTGAATACACGAAAGCAAATTCCATGCATACGGAGGACAAACTATAATGTTTAGTAAGGGGTTTTTTTTCTTTCTTTCTTTTTTTTTTTTTTTTTTTTTGTCTTTTTCCTTTTTATCGGTACTGGGGATCGAACTCAAGACTGCCTGCTTACAAGGCAGGCGCTTATGCCGCTGAGCTAAATCTCCAGCCCTGGTTTTGTTATCTTTTAATAATAGAAAGCAACCTAACATAATACACATAGCTTAATTATTTTGGAACAAGAGTTCCAGTCATGAGGAAGCCAGGATTCTTCACTATTCAGAGTTCAAGAACTTTCATTCATTGATAGTATTTTTCTTATTTTTCTTGTGCTGTGTTGCTTGGAATCTGTGTTTTGCTTAAGGTTATCAGTAATATGCTTATTTGCAGTAAAGTTTAATGATCAAAATCAGAAATGACTTCACGTAGGTTATATTTGGATTTTAAAGAGGTTACAGATTAAAGCCAAGACTAAAATAGCTGTGGATTATTTGTAACTCATTTTAGGTGATGAGCAAGATTAAATTATGCAGTGTTATTTTGAGGAGTAATAGAGAAAGCTCAGGTTTCTTATTTAAAATGCAACATGTTTTCTGTCATGGATTGGATAGGGATATATTCAGGCACGTGAGATCCTAGTTCTTTTGTGAGTTTTTTTTTGGGGGGGGGCTTCATTTAATGTGAGTTAATTCATCCCCATGATTATTTAATTCATTTTAAATTATAGAAATCTTTTTCCCTTCTAGTAAAAATTATTACAAATATTGTACTTTACCCTTTAACTATAAGGGTTAATCATAGCCATCAGTTCTGCAAATGTGAAAGAATTAGATTAGTTTTCAAATTGTCATCAAAAGGTTCTCGGATAAAAAGTAATCTTTGTTGATTACTAATAATTGTGAAGAGAATGTAATATTCCAGAACCATTTCAAAGGTGATTGAATTTTAATATATTGTTAAATCTTTATACTTTGTTACATTTTTAGGCATGTCCAGATCAGCAATGAGTCCGCAATCGACTTCTACAGGAAGTTTGGCTTTGAGATTATTGAGACAAAGAAGAACTACTATAAGAGAATAGAACCTGCTGATGCGCATGTGCTTCAGAAAAACCTCAAAGTCCCTTCTGGTCAGAATGCAGATGCACAAAAGACAGACAACTGAACAAATTACAAATGAACTTTCTTGCACTTGCTTGTCGCCAAATAAAAAGAGAGGCCCATTAATCCCCTCCCTTCTTTGTTAAGCTTTCCCACCTTGTTCTCTTGTTCTTGGTTTTCTTTTTTTCCCCTCCTTTCCTTTAAAAGTTTTAATTTCAAGGACTTTTTAAATAATCATGTTTGGATCGTTTCAGTTGTCTCATTTTTGTGAGGTGGTTGGATTGAAGGAATATCTGTTTACTTTCATAGTTAAGATGTATAACCCAAAAATTTTGGGTCTCAAATGATTTCAAATTTTTGAATTTTTTTTTAATGTCCTGCTTTCACATTGAAGGGTGGAGCCTACAAATACTGTTTATTTCAAAAGACAAAAGACACAGCAGCAATAGCTTTTTTTCTGATTCATAGACAAGTTTGGTGTGTTTGTGGTACTTTGGGTTTTTAAAGACTATTTGTGGGATGCTTATCTCTAGACATTGCCTTTACCCCATAGTCCTTCTGAGCACACTCAGGAGTTGGACCATTGTTATCCTTGTGAGAAATACTAAACTTATTTAGATTTTTAAAGCAGTTGATTTTTCTGTTCTTGCTGATGGGTGGGGAAGTTTGGGGAGGTAGTGTTATATGTTGGTCTAAATATTTGAGTTGAACTGCTTTTTTGTTAATGAGTGGAATGGTTGTCAGCAGGTTTGTTTTTCCTGCTGTTGTTAATAGAGACATTAACATTTAGAGTGTGAGCTGGTGAGATTAATTTTTTTTTAATATCCCAGCTAGAGATAATAGCCTTTAACTGACCTAAAGAAGTTTATTGTGATTTAGTTTTTTTTTCTCCTGTCCTTTTTCTTCCAGAAGTAAGCCCAATAATACCATAGTTAGTCTTAACTTTAAAAAATGGAGTTGATGTCTTTACAGGTTAACCCCTAAACAAACCTGAAACAGGTGTTTTTGGACGACATGTTTTACAATGCCTAAAGGAAAGCTTAGATGGACTTGTGGCACAATAAATGCATGTAATGTCAACGAATACGGGCTGTTAAAAATGTTGCAAGTGAGTGTTTGTTTATATAGGAAAGAATATCTAGACAGTATTTTTTGAGAATAACATAGTTATGAAACTCCCTTATCTATTGGAGAATATCCCAGATTTGCTTATATTCTGTGCCTACAATATTGAGTTTGAGGATTTGGGATAAGAGGAATTATTGAACAAACTGCTTCTGTTCTTGGAAAGGTAGAAGCATAAAGTATTAATAGTACAAATATCACTGTGACCTCCTCTACTGACAGGAGTGGTTTTATGCTAGATCATTATCTTGCAAGTAGGGAGTGGTTCTGACAGATTGTTAACTTTTTGTAAGATGAGCTATCTGAAATACTCATGTTTTCTTCTAGTTGTCCAATCTCGGTATTTGCAATTTTTAGATTATCGATGGTGACTCAAGAAACATTCTTCATAGACTTAAAAGCAATGCACAAAGCTTGAGTTTTCTTTGATTTGACTTTAAAAGGAAGTTTGATTTGTAATATTTATCATATATAAAAATCTCATTTCCAAATAAGTTACATGGCATAATTACTTTATAGAATGTTTGTATACACTTTATAACTTTATGTTTTCATTTGGAAATGTAAAAGTACAAAGTAAAATAGACTTCAGTCTAGAGTGCCAAGAAAAGATTTTTAAAGGAAAATCGTTGATGGATGAGTCTATAGAGTTATAATCTTAGTGAAAATGTAGAAAGACCATGCTGGTTAGTCTTTAGTATCAGTTTCTTAATCTGAATCCAAGCTTAGAAGAAATGTTTAACATTAAGCACCTTTACTTACCTTCACAGATAAGTTTCGGCTTGCTCTTGCCAAAAGAGTGCTTGAATTACAGAAAGCATAATTAGCATGAAGAATTCAACCTTTTTGTAAACTTCCAGGTATCAAAATAGATTTTGATATATAAATGAATTTCCTGAGACTACACTGCCTCTATTTCTGTAACTGTTTCACCTGGACTATATACACAGTCCTATGAATGTATCCCTAAATGTGGTTATTGAAAACCAAATAGCTGCCTCACAATTAAGTACATGTTATTTAAAGACAAAAGAAAAATTTTCAAGTTTGAATTGCGTGTGTAGGCTTCCTGTCATTGTAGAGTTGTGTTTTCCACCTAGTCAATGACTTAATCTAAATTCTTAGTGTTTATAAAGGGTTAATTGTCCTCCATGAAGCTGGTGTTAAATAATTCCATCCACATACAGAAGGGAATATGTGGACGAGGTAGATACTGGGTACTAGTTCATATGTCTTTGAGTCAATAAAGACTAATGTCCATTTTGAGTTGTTTTTTTTTTTTCTTTTTTTTGACAAATGGTAAAAATAATCTTTGAGGTAAATCAGTAATTCTGTTAACTAGAAGACCACAGGATATTTCCTCATACTTCCCAAGATTGGGTCTACAAAAGAATCTGTATAGAAATCTATGCAATATATAATTTATCCAAATTAATTTTCATTTGAGGGAAAGAGTTCTAAAATATCTCCAAAGCAGTTTTCTCATCAGTTCAAAAGTCCTTCAGAAAGAAAACTATTGGGGAACCATGGTTTGTGGTGGTGGAAATGAAAAAGCTCCCTCAGTTTTTGGAGGGAATAACTTTGAAAATGCTTAAATGGTTAAGTTTACTTGGTGCAGTTAAAAATTAAACTTTTCAATTTTAATATTGCTGTTACATCTGAAATAAACTTATGTGATGCTCTGGTAGTGATCTGTGATGTCTGAATGTCAAAGGAACACCTGCGTTGTGCTGAATTCTGTAGTCAGCAACTATAGGTAGGCATTGTGTGCTGTTACCTATAATGTTTTGTTCACCTACCCCCATGCTTCCCAAACCCAGAGCCTCTATAGTGAGCTACATATTCTACCCCCACCCACCCACCCGCTTTTTTTTTTTCCCCTAAATTTTAAGTTGCTTAGGAGCATCTTGGAACTTTTGATCCTCCTGCCATAGTCTCCCTTATTGCTGGGGTTACAGGTATGTGCCACCATACCTTACTTAAGAACTAACTTAAAACTCATAAAAACAGTACAGGTTGTAATAGAAACACCCTGATTGAGACTTTTTGAGACTTGCAGAAACACAACCCAATTATCTGTAGTTTAATCCTGTGAGAGAAAAGACCTAAGGAACTGTTCTCTTGCTGTATTTTGAGTTGTTTAACTATGACAGTGTAAATTCAGCATTTTTCTTTTCTCTTTTTGGTAGTTCAATGAGTTTGAGAAATTGTTTTTTCCCCTAATACCAAACAAGCATGAATTTAAAATCTTGTCTTTGGCAAAATTAACTCAATATTTCTAGTCACAGCAGTTGTAAGTAGAATTTTTACTTACTCTTTTCAGTGATCTTTGACTGATACGTCTGTTTATCACCCAGAATTTAGCAGCTTGAAACAACAAATATTTATTCCCCCATAATCTCTAATTTTAAAGTCTAGGTGTAGCTTGCCTCATTGGTTTCAGGTTGAGATCTGTTAAGTTTACAGTCAAGTTGTCAGCCAGAGATACATCATCTTGAAGGTTTGACAAGGGCTAGAGAAGCTGACCTTCAAGTTGGCACACTCACATAGCTGTTGGGCCTCAGCTCCTCATGAATATCGCCACAAAGCTGCCTGTCTGACAACTAGCATCTTGAGTTCCCTCAGAATAAGTAATCAAGAAAATAAACAGACCTTCTTTCTTCATGACAGACCAAATACTATATCAGCATGGCACATTGTGGGAAGGGACTACACAAAGATGTGAATACTGGGAAATGGAGATTATTGGGTCTTGTAGGCTGACTGGCTGCCACAATGCTTAGGAAAAATGCTGGGTTTTGCTGACTACCAAGTCAGTGTGGTTGGTAACATGTTTTGTTAATCTCTGAAAGGATTAGTCTCCTAGATGAGGGTTAGAAAATTACTTTGTAATTCTGACTGTAAAAGAAATAGTGGACTTGTGGTTAGACATTCAGAAGGCAACTAATCTGTCTCTGACACTGTGAGCAGTGAGTTTATAGAAATTTGAAGGAAGCTGGTTGTCGTGGCACACGCTTGTAATCCCTGCACTTGGGAAGCTGAGACAGGAGGATTGTTGGAAGATTGAGACCAGCCTGGGCTACAAAGTGAGCTCAAGGCCAGCCCTAACTGTACAGTGAGACCCTGTCTCAAAAAGACCCACCTACCCCCCCCCCCAAAAAAAAATAATGGGATGAACATTTCCTATGAGAAAGGGTCCTGAATTGGACCTTCCTTGAAAGGCACAGGAAACCTGTTTTGTGGTACAATCATGTAGCATTGCTTGAGTCAGATTTTTAAGTGTAGGTATAACTTGGTAAAACATTGCAAAATGTGTCGGATCTGTTCAGGCAAAAACTTGAATTCTCCAACATTCAAAACAATTGATTTCTTAGGGAAAAATTGTCAAGAAATAATTGGGAATGGAAAATAATGTGAAGCAATTGCTTCTTAACCAGCCCAGAGTTTGCCTTGTATATGGCCTTTTTATATTTGTGATAAAAGTTTAAATTCAATGTACGAGAAGATAGCTATTTAGGTAGAATATTTTGGACTTCTACGTTCAGATTTATTTACTGTTGTCAAAAACTGAACAGGTATGGTAGTGCATACCTGCAGTCTCAGCATTCAGAAGGTGGAGGCAGAGGACTGGCCTGCCTGGGCTATATATAGTTAGTGTCTTAAAAACAAACCAACCTCAGGTTATCTGAGCTCCTGAAGTACTGTGTAGAATTAGGGTATTTTCAGTATCTGTAGGTTTAACAGTATTTGGTGAAAGGCTATTTCTCGCACCCAATTTCAAAAACCCTTCCTACCCCCACCCTCAACAATAGGGACTGACCCCGGAGGCCCCACACTGAGCTAAGCCCCCAATTTTTTTTTCCTGAGACAGGGTCTCATGCCACTTAAGTTGCCTAGGCTGGGCTTGAACTTAAGATCCTTTTGCCTTAGCTTCCTAGAGTGTTAGGTTGCGAATGTGTGTGCGTGCTCACACCCAGCTTTACTCATTTTTGGGAGACTATTGGCAGTGGCAACCATCTTCTATAAAGATTTGGGCTGTCTTGAATTTCACTTGTCAATAGCAATCTCATACCATGAAGTGTAATAAAACTATCAGATACCAATATGTGTATTAAATTGTTTATACAAATGTATTGTACACTGTTCTTCCAAGCTCTGCCAAAGCACATAAGATCCATGGCCTCTTTAGAGGTAAATAAAATTCTACTTTACATCTTCCTCTTTACCAGTTAAGACCAAGGATCTTGATTTCACTTGCACTGGGGAAGAAACTAGATGGAAATGTTCTCCACACTGGCCTGTTTTAATATCAGCCAAATATAAACAAAAGACCTTATTCCCATTGAGGGACTGAGGTGTTCAAGTATGAAAGGTAATGCAAAAAGTATACAAGTTGAGTCATTGTAACAGATGCTATCAATTAAAGATTGTGATTCCATCATGTATGATGTCTCCCTACAGCCATGTAGCTTTCCCACCCTAACTGCCTTCCTTTAAGCTGTAATTTAAAAGGAGCTAACCAGCTCAAATCTGGTAACATAGTTGGGTCATGTCAATCATTAGAAGTACAAAAAATAAGCATCCAAAAAGCAAACTGTTCCCTAGGTCTTTATCATTTTGGTTTTTGGTCAGTGCAAAATTCTGCCACGGATGATTATAAGAATGATTACTATTAGGAATTTCACTTACTTTACATATAAGCAATCCTGTGTAGCTTGTCTTTACATTTAATATATGCAAGTTACCTCATGCTTTGGTACTTCGTACTTCGGTATGGTTAAAGTTTATTCCTCCAAATACGACTACAGAATACTCAGTATCTATTAGTCTCCCCTTTTCTTGGTAACTCTCTTCCTTTGTCAACATAAAATTGTTTACTGTCTCCACACCAAAGTTTAGCATATAACACGTATTCTGAAAAAAATTCAGAATATGTTTCCTGGATTATCAGTCTTCAAAGTTAAAAAAAAGTTTAATGTTATTTGTAGGGTTGGTACACAGACATGAAATTTGATCATGAGGTGTGACTTGAAAGAAATCAGGTAGTGGTACTGAGGAAGGGGCATGAGCCTGCCTTGATGACACTTGGCAGACTGATAGGAAACACCATTTTTCCTGGTGCAATGAGGTACTGTGATGAGGGGCATAGTTTTACAGAATTTTAATGAAAACTTCGTATCCTTGAGAATTTAAGTCCTTACACATAAGACAAACAGTGCCTGAGTTTTTAAGAGTATATTTCTGCCTTTGACCAATATAAGTGTGAGTCCAATGGCAGTAAAAAGAGACATTTTTATGTATGAATGAAAAAATGAGAGTCAATGTAAGACTTAACACTGGAAATTCCGCAGCAGTATTTCAATGCCACTTAATAAAAGCTAAAAAAAAAAAAAAAAAAAAAAAATGCCAGGAGCATTCTTTGAGCATTTCACAGACATGAAAATACTTCACACTGCCAACAACCAGTAAAAAATTGTTATGCATAATACATAATTTAGAATTGAAGGCATATTAAGTGAATTGAGATGAAGGGATAATGTGCCACATGCATAAATATAGTGTAAGTTATCTACCAAACTGTCCATAAAACAGATTTAGCAAATTCTAACAGGTATAACCACCCCATTAGAATTAGAGAAGTTCAATTAAGGAGAAGCCAAAATAGCAGCAGTGTAGCCTGAGGAACTTTATGAGGCTGTGTTGCAAAAAATTTTTTAAAGTAACAGAAGGACTGAGGATGTAGCTTGGAGCAAAGGTCCTGAGTGTAATCCCTAAACTGGGAAAAGATCAGGTAAATGTATTTAGAGAATGTTTCCATAGAGGGATCATAGTGCTATAGTTATTTAAGAGATAAGTAACTGGCTAGCATTTGGAAAAATAATATAGGACCAAAGTAAGATCAAAACAGTAAAATCTAGGGAAAATACAGCAATTGAAAGTGTAATTTGTAAACTTTGGAGTTGAGCTAAACTGACCTTCAAATAATGTCAAACTTGGAAAGATGACAACTATGCATTAATAAGTGGAGTTTTTGCATTAAGGACTTTCATGGTCAGGGAATAACTGGTAGAGCACTTGTCTGGCATGTCTAGCATAGGTTTGATCTCCAGCACATATGGGTCTGTGGAAGCATTTACTCAGTGTTTAAGATGGTAAGTTTAAGGAAAATGTACAATTAATGACATAAAGGAACTATAATTTCAAAAATATAGCTTTATATTTGCCTACTGAGAATTTAAGAATGTTTATGCTCTGCCTAACTCCATTGCCTTGGGTTGATTCTTTACAATAGCGTTTATCAAATGCTTTATTATGTATGAGGCACTGTGATAGATGTGCCTATGCAGCATACTACTTGTTATCAATGTTGTATTTAGAAATTTGCTTAGGATAAATTTTATATAAGTATTATAAAAGTTAACAGGGTGAGAGGAAATAGTGATGGGTATTTTCTGACATGATAATGGCTTACGGATATATACTTTCTCCAAATTCATCATTATGTTCATATTGGTTGTGTACAGTTTTTTCTATTAATCATACCTTAAGGAAGTTAAAAATAGACCAAATTATGGGCCATAATGTAAACCACTCTACATGTAAGGAGCTTGATACCACATCTGGAAAAACTACATTTTAGATATTAAATATACTTCTGAATAGCTCATGTGTCTTCAAAAAAATCAC